AATACGTATATATATATATATATATATATATATAGAGAGAGAGAGAGAGAGAAAGAGATATAGTACAGAGTTATTAGGATCTCATAGTATTAAAAAATTCAGGTTAGCTATATGGTCTTTCATAAACTGAACAAGATATTAACAGGCTTTACACAATTCAGGTTAGCTATATGGTCTTTCATAAACTGAACATAATATTAACAGCCTTTACACAATTCAGGTTAGCTGTATGGTCTTTCATAAACTGAACAAGATATTAACAGGCTTTACACAATTCAGGTTAGCTATATGGTCTTTCATAAACTGAACAAGATATTAACAGGCTTTACACAATTCAGGTTAGCTATATGGTCTTTCATAAACTGAACAAGATATTAACAGGCTTTACAAAATTCAGGTTAGCTATATGGTCTTTCATAAACTGAACAAGATATTAACAGGCTTTACAAATATCTGCTAACAACTTTCCTTTCATATAACTCTACAAAAGTTTTTTTCATATAAATAGAGGCAGATGAGAAGTTGTGGCCATACACAAGATAAATAACACGTTCTACATTACAGCAAGACTGTAGTTTTTTTACCTCATGTTTCATGGTTTCACTTGCAACTTGGCTCATGATCTGAAGGGCAGCAACTGTATCTTCATAATCAGGTGAATCCTCCTGTAGATGGTTCAAGTAGTCTTGCAGCAGAAGGCAGTACTGTGAAATACGCTGGATGGGTTTCAGCATGTAATTATTCAATGACAACTTCTGGCAGTGAGGACGAGGAGTCATCTAAAAAAATACATGTCTGACTAATGTATCACAAGACCTGTCTTCTCTACCGAGGTTAAGATTTTACATGTACATTACTGACTAAAGTATCACATGACCTTTCTTCTTGGCCTACCAGGGTTAAGATTTTACAAGTACATTACTGACTAAAGTATCACATGACCTTTCTTCTTGGCCTACCAAGGTTAAGATTTTACATGTACATTACTGACTAAAGTATCACATGACCTTTCTTCTTGGCCTACCAAGGTTCCCTGGTAGGCCAAGAAGAAAGGTCATGTGATACTTTAGTCAGTAATGTACATGTAAAATCTTAACCCTGGTAGGCCAAGAAGAAAGGTCATGTGATACTTTAGTCAGTAATGTACATGTAAAATCTTAACCCTGGTAGGCCAAGAAGAAAGGTCATGTGATACTTTAGTCAGTAATGTACATGTAAAATCTTAACCTTGGTAGGCCAAGAAGAAAGGTCATGTGATACTTTAGTCAGTAATGTACATGTAAAATCTTTTAAGATTTTACATGTACATTACTGACTAAAGTATCACATGACCTTTCTTCTTGGCCTACCGGGGTCAAGATTTTACATGTACATTACTGACTAAAGTATCACAAGACCTGTCTTCTCTACCAAGGTTAAGATTTTACATGTACATTACTGACTAAAGTATCACATGACCTTTCTTCTTGGCCTACCGAGG